CCTGGCCTGTAGATGAGTGTAAACTGCAGAGGCCTGGCCTGTAGATGAGTGTAAACTGCAGAGTCCTGGCCTGTAGATGAGTGTAAACTGCAGAGTCCTGGCCTGTAGATGAGTGTAAACTGCAGAGTCCTGGTCTGCAGATGAGTGTAAACTGCAGAGTCCTGGTCTGCAGATGAGTGTAAACTGCAGAGTCCTGGTCTGCAGATGAGTGTAAACTGCAGAGTCCTGACCTGTAAATGAGTGTAAACTGCAGAGTTCTGACCCGACGAAGTAGCTCGTCTGTGCTGGCTCATTCTTTTGAACAGTGGCTGTTGGGGAAACAAAAAATGGCGTTGTGTCGCTGAAGGTCTCTGTGCGTGATGCCAGAGCTGTTGTGGAAATATCCACTAAGGCAGAAACGCGTGAATAAAAGAAAGGTGCACTGCGTGGTTTGGTCGTCAAATGATTTAATAAGGTTTCCATTATGCAGAGATGAGTGGCAACTGGACAGAGAGATCAGTAGCTCTGTCAAGTCATCACTGGGTTAGCAACAGACAGGAAATGCAATTTATACTTCCGGCGGAGTCCATGAACAGCAAATAAGAGCATCACAATTGGTAGAAAGATATCAAGTGACCAATAAAAGGTTTACAAGTTACACAGGCAATATGAAATGAGAACAAGGTCTGTAGACATCAAATGGCATCTTTAAGAATCCTGAGAACAGATTATACAAATGTGGCAGCAATCAGAGATACAGAACAGAATATGTCAAGGTAATGTGAACTTAGCAGTTAGGCTGGATTATATAATATATTTCCACCACAACCACTTCAATTACATTTTGTAACAATGTCTTTATTTGAACTTAATTTACAAAACCATGAACAAAATAACATTAACATAACTAAACAATATTTTACATGAACACATTCATTTTTGCACAATTTTTTCTAAAATATAGATCAGCCTGTCCATCACGCTTCCTTGCAAGCTCATTTCCTCCAGAATTGCCCTAATAACAAAAAGAAAGTGCAACATAGATTTTATTAGTAGGATAAAGAAAGTCTTGGACCTTGTCAGCAATCTAACAAATACTATTTGACATGCCAAAAAAACATGGC